CGGGTTACAATACTAGCCTCTATCTGATCTTGCAGGAAAACTCTGGAACAAAAACTGTACAACTGAGATGTCTCACACTGAGACATCCTGGGCCAGATGGCCGCCTTTTGCCTGAGAGAAATTGCTGTGACAATACAAACAGCAGCTGGAGAGTGGATGTACGGCTGGAAAAGGGAATCTCGGCAGGGCACCACTGCACCACTTTCTAGAATGTAACCATCATCCTGTGTGTTTCTCCTTCAAGTTTTAGTTCCTTCATCTAAAATATGAGTAAGAATCACAATATCTCTTAAGGCTATTGTTAATATTAAGAGTTTCCATAGATACATACAGTGTCTTGCACGTAGTGGGTCATCAAAAGTATAGTGCATGTTTACATCCACACGTGGATTTCAATTAAAGTATATGGATTTATTTTATTAATCTTACCCAAAAAAAGTACTTGTTTTAATAGCATGTGATTTTCTTTTATGAGTGTGTGTAGTCTACATAATTACATAAAAAATTTCTAGATCTTTTTATTTTGAAATACATAAAACATATGCAAAAGGTATATGAAACATTAATGGACATCTTAGTGAATTATTGTAGTATGAACCCACTCTCTCCCTCTTACAGGTCGTGGTATTTTGACTTTTATGGTTAGCATTTCCCTGCTGTTCTTTGTAGTTGTATCACCTGAGTTTGTACCCCTAAGTACCATAGTTCGTTTTTACCTATTTTTAAACTGACAATAAGTGGACTCATGTAGATATGTTTTTAGTTGGTTTGCTTCTTTCATTTAATATATGTTTAAGATTCATTTATGATTTGTGTTTAGCCGGAGTTCATTTATTTTCATTGCTTGCTGTATAGACTTTCAGGGTATGGATATATTTCAATTTATTTCCACTATAATGTAGATGGACACATTATTTCCAGTCTGGAGTCATTATAAATAATGCTGCTTTGAACATGTCCAACATGTTTCCTGGTCTTTATGTACATTTCATTTTCTAGGCATGAAATTTCTGGGCCATAGGATATGAACGCCTTCAACATTTAGTAGACTCTACTAAAAAATTTTTTTCCTCAGGTGGAGGTACCAATTTTTACTCCCACATCATCATGGGGTTGGATAATCCCACGATGTGAACAATTGATTGATATGCCAACATTTTGATAAAAGTCATGACAGAAGCCTCCGTTGACAAATCTGTTTGCATAATATTGCATTTTACTCAAACACAGCTAATGATCAGTGAGCCTTACATGAGTGACAAATCCAAGACCCTGCTACAAAGTATTATCTGTGGGTTTTCTGGTTTGTAGTCGAAAGAGACACTCCAGAGTTGTTGGCCCTGTAGACATAACTACTAAGAAGGTGAATGACTTCTTTTGTTATTAGATACCATACATTGCACACTGGAAATTTTAGTGTAGCTTTATACAAAGACACTTGATAGGAGGCACAAATTTGAATAGAGGCCCCCAGAGTAAGAAGGCTAGGAATCAGCCCAGGCAGCACTGTGTCAGGCCCTGTCCTGGAGCTCATATATCTCCTTCAGACCTCATGAAATTACATGAGGTCCAACTTTATAGCTGATAGGAACCTTTGCAACAAAACTCCACTGATACTCACTGGCTTCTGGAGTTTTGGATTTGAGGACTTCCTCCTAATGCTGAGTGTTAATACTATAGCTATGGGGTTGCTATGAGCTGGATCGACTCCATGGCACACAACAACAACAAAAAAAAATGGAGATAGATTGTTTTACTTAAAAGTCATGACTCTTAATCTGACATCTCACTCTTCAATGTGTCCTTTCTGATCTATATTCCTATATGGTGAGACAAGCCCCAGAAATGTCCACTGTGAAATGGAAATGATACCTCCAATTAAGGGTCAAACCTAGTACCCAAACCTTGTACCCAAACCTTAGCCACCTTCAGAAATACATGACTGCCCACCCATTAGAACTTGAGACAGCTTTGTTTACTATGTTACTCAAACTACAGACTTAAAGGAGGCCTCACCTACAATATTTGACACTGAAAAGAGAACATGGCCACTATTGAAACATCCTATACCCAATAGGGAAACCCTAGTGACGCAGTGGTTCACAGCTATGGCTGCTAACCAAAAGGCCAGCAGTTTGAATCCACCAGGCGCTCCTTGGAAACTCTATGAGGCAGTTCTACTCTGTCCTACAGGGTTGCTAGGAGTCGGAATTGACTCGACGGCAATGGGTTTGGCTTTTAGTTTTTTGGTACCCAATATGGACAAATATAATGGAATCCTACAGCTACCAATCCTAATGATTATAAACTACTGATAGTTCACAGCATGTGATGTTCTCAATGAACCTCAAGATTGTGGTTCTATTCAAAAAGCCAGAAGTCTGCATTTCTACCCTGGCTAGAACCTCTAATACAGTGTTGAATAGACTAGGTGATAATAGCCATTCTTGGCAGGGTCCAACTCTCCAAGGTAAAACTCTATACTAATTATGATACTTGCTAAATATTATAATTACCCTTTGTCATCTTAAGTTCCTTTTTATTCCTAATATGCTATGTTTTTTTTAAAAATTATGAATGACTGTTTAATTGGTCAAATTATACTTTTTCCATCTATTGAGATGACCAGATTATTTTATTTTTATTCTAAAAATGTGGTAAATTATATTGATTGATTTACATTATAAACCAACCTTGCATTCCTGATATAAACCTAACCTGTTCATGATGTATTTACCTTTTAATATATTCTGAACCTAATTTGTTAAAAATTTGTTTAGGAGCTTTGCATTTATGTTCATGAATGACATTGGCTTATAATTTTTTTCATTCTCTCATTCATGAGTAACAGAGGTGCTTACACAAATCAGCATGCAAAAGCAAAACTTTCAATTTTTATGTGTCATAATTCCAAACTCTTTCACTGAAAGGAGAAAAAGGAGCTATTGGTTTCATTTACATTTCATAAGCAAGTTTTGGCTGATGCATCAGCAAAAGAAAATACTTGTTTAATAGGAGGGAAGAACTTTAAAAATTAACATGAGTATATATAAATAATAAAGATAAAGAGTTATTGTTATTAATTAACTCTAGATAAATTCAAAGGCCAGAGAAAAACTATGATTTCCTTACTGCTCAGTGCCTACAAAAGATTGGTGAGAATCCCAGATATTTTATGAAAGCTTCTTAGCATAATCAAGGATAGGAAAATTTGTACCAAAAGTAACTCAATATGAGAGCTTGATACTTATGAATAACTCACAGGGCACAACATATTGATGGTCAGAACAACAAATATGATTTAATACAATTGTCACAAAACTATCCCAGCCTATAGTACCTGGGAAGGTTGCTGAAATAAGTTATTTAGGCTCCTTTGGTTTATCCAAATCCTTATCAGTCTTGATCTTGGCCTTCAGGATGTAAGCATAGCCACACTTGTTCTTGAGGTACTGAGGGTTGCCCAAACATATGAACTTCCCCTTTATCATGATGGCCAGCCTGGTACAAAGGGCTTCACATTCCTCCATACTAGGGAAAAAAAGGTACTAAAAGGAGTTTGGATGGAGTGACCCCCTTTTGGAAAGTAAATTCTGTAGTTCAAACAGAACCAAGATTTTATGACCATACTTTCAGTAGGAAGATCTGAGATCCCTAATGCTCACCACGAAGGTCATATCTGAGAGGAGGTTTTTCAGAGTACTAGATGCCTAAGTTCACAAGAGTTAACACCTCTCAAAACTTCTGTCTCCCTCCTCCTGATTCTAAAACTAAACTGAGCAGGATTTTTGATTGCCCCTTTATTACGATCAAACATGAGCAACAATCCCTCTTAAAACTCATTGACTCAAGGAAACACAGTAACCTTTATGCCTGTATTGCAATTAGGCAAACTCCTCTGTGGATTTGCATTTAAGTACACATAGCTTAGGTAGCCACAGAAAAAGCTATAAATTTTAATTTACAGTGATCCCTAAATGTTCATGCCCCTAGACTCTTGGCAGAAGCAAATTCAAATATCCTCTTTATTTTAAAACAACAGAACAGACAGTAGCTTCTGGATATCATTTTATAACTGACAATATTCAGTTGAGGATGAGACAACCTTAAATGAGCCACCCCAAAACAGAGCAGCTTCATGGACTCTCTCCATCATGCGATTCCACGAGGATCATCCCTACTGACTGCTGATCTGTCCACAAATCCTGGACAGGTGCTTATATTTCTCATGTTCTTTGTGAGGACTCCATCTTTGAGACAGGAATCCTGGTGGTGCAATGGTTAAGTACTTGGCTGCTAACCAAAAGGTCAGTGGTTCGAACCCACCAGCAGCTCTGCAGGAAAAAGAACTGGCAATCTGCTCCCGTAAAGATTATAGCTTTGGAAACCCTATGGGGCAGTTCTACCCTGTCCTATACGGGTCACTGTGAGTCAGAATGGACGTGACAGCACACAACAGCGACAACAATCAGGAGATAAGCTCTGTTTTCTTCCCTCACCACTTCATTTCTTGTTCCGTTCTTAATTAGAGGTGTGGCAAGCATAGGGAGGAAAATACACTATTTATGAAGACTTTTTTTTGGCTGTCTGTTCTTAGACTCTAAAAATTCTTACAAATGAAGACTAAGTATCTTAGTTTGGGTTTTGGAAATAGTAACCCAACTCACCACTCAAATCTTGATAATGATTTTAATTAGATTTTTTTTTTTTTGGTATAAAATTCGTGTGTGTGTTTGTATAGTCACGTAAAAGTTTATCTTCTCCAGGTCTTAGACTACTCTTACCCATAACTCAGCTGCTGAAACGTAAAGTTCATGCTCTTTGGGCTGTCCCATCTGACAGTACCATCATTTACAGATGTTTCTGTTCATACATTCAGAATACTCAGGAATTGGTTCTTGTCCCTACCCTGATAAATGCTGCTTTTCCTTATTTCTAGGAGAGAAAATAGGAATTTCACCAAATGTCATCATATTTACACCTCCTCGATATACAGGCCACTCACCTAAATCTAGAAAGAAGGGGACAAGTGTTTTCCATTGGGGGACTCTTTATTATTGAAATATATTTACACCAAGATTACACAGACAAAAATTTCCTTCTCTGTATCCAGATGCAGCAGGGATCGGTCCAAGAAAGACTGGTTGTAACTGAATCTCATGGTACTTTTTTTTTATATTCATCTTCTGCTTTATCTGTGTAAGCAAAGGTCAGGAAGACTTGTTCCAGAGTTATCTGACTGATGGAATAGTCTTCTAAACTGAATTCCTCTTTTGCTTCCTCCAAAATTCCAAACACCTTTAACCACCACAACAACAAATGCCGTTACCATTGCAGTCCCCTCACAGTCCCCAACCCAGATGAACTTCCCTCCATCACATTCCTCCAACCCCTGTCAAATTTATATTGGATGACAAAAGGCACAGAAGGGGAAGGTGAGAAAGTAGAAGGAATAGATAATCGAGCACAGAGAGAAGGCAGCTGTCAGTCCTCATTTTCTTGATGGGCATGGATTAATAATGGGATTTATGGTCAGAAAGTTCAAGCAATTAAACTCATCCAGGGCTTTTGAAAAGTACCCATAATGCCAGGCTCCCATTCCACATGCTTGAATATCAAATACTTCCCATCATTAGTGCTCTCTTTACATGTAATGTTAGAAGGGTATGGTTTCTATAGTCACCTTTGCCCAGCTATTGTCCTTGCTGGGGATGTAGTAGTTAACAATCCTTTGATTCTCCTGCTTAATGACACTTCCTAAGAAAGGAAAGACATGATAGATGAATAATCTTACATCAACGTAAGTATATACAATAGAGGAATGAATTGATGTGGTTAATACAAAAGAAGACAGAATCCAAAAGTCCACACTCTTTGGTACACATGTCATGGTTAATTCTTTCAGCGGAAAGATAATGACTCTAGTCATTATCTAGAGTTCTTAGCAGTTGCTGAGGCTACTCACTTTTAGGCACGGGAAAGTGTCACCTCACATGCTCAATGTAAAAAAACCTGAGCCTTCTAAAATTTTCATGTTACTACAAGATGTTATTCCTAAACATAGTGCTGGGAATATGGATTTGGAGCATTTTCCTCCTGGTTGTGTGTTTACACATGCACATATAGTGTGTTTGGTGGGGAGGAGAACAGGGTAAGTCCTCCTCCCCATTCTCGTGATTATGCAATCTCCATGCTGTGTGAAAGACGAAATCAGATCTGTAAGTCACCAAAGTCAGGGTGCATGTTCTTGTTTCTTTTATAGGTGAATTAAGAATACGCTGAAGGAATGAGAGGAAAGAGCGTGGTATCCATTCCTAATTAAAAACAAACATATATATACGTATATATATACATATATATATTTATCATTGCATATTTGCAGATTATTACAAAATTGAATTAACTAAGATTAAAAATGTTTAAAGGAAAAAAACATGTATGTAATGATGTGTGATTTTTATAATGTTAGTCTTAATGAATGTCTTGTCTCCATGATCACATAAGAGCTCATCTATTGTGAAATATCTGAACCATAGAACCTAATTAATTCTTCAAAGTAAAGTCTCATGAAACCACCCTATCCAGGTCAAGTAATAGTACCCTAGACATGTTACCCTTCCCAGTGTCTATCCCCCAGAAAAAATAACCAATACCTTCATTGATATTGTGAGCATTTCCTTTATTGTCTTTTTACCTAAAATTTGTAGCTCTAAACATTGTAGCTTTATTTTTCCTACTTTTGAACTTGATATGAATGGAATCATCCAGTGTATGTTCTTTTATTTCTGCTTCTGTTACTCAGTATTATGATTTTAAGATTCATTCATATTGCATACAGCTATTATTCTATTCATTGTTCTTTCTGCAAAGTACTCTGGTGTATGAATGTTCTATCATTTATTTTCCACTCAACTACTGATAGACATATGGGTTGTTTTAATGTCTGACTATTGTGAACATTGCTGATTTGAATATTATTTTACCTATCTCCTCAATTGTAGGTGGAATCGTTGGGCCATGTCTCTTTTTAAAATTGGTTGTACCTATTTTGGTTTCACCTTGGAGATACAGAGTATCTCTCTTACGTTTATGTCTTAGTCATCTACTGCTGCTGTAACAGAAATATCACAAACAGATGGCTTCAACAAACAGAAGTTTATTCTCAGTCTACTAGGCTAGAAGTCCAAATTCAGGGCGTCAGCTCCAGAGGAAGGCTTTCTCTCTCTGTCGGATCTGGAGGAAGGTCCTCGTCATCAATCTTCCCTTGGTCTAGGAGCTTCTCCACGCAGGAACCCTGGGTCCAAGAGACATGCTCTGCTCCCAGCACTTCTTTCTTGGTGGTATGAGGTCCCCATGTCTCTCTGCTCGCTTTTCTTTTATATTTCTCAAAAGAGATTGGCTCAATACACAATCCAATCTTGTAGCTTGAGTCCTGCCTCATTAATGTAATGGCTGCAAATCCCATCTCATCAGCATTGTAGAGATAGGATTTACAACACAAGAGAAATTGCATCAGATGACAAAATGGAGGACAATCACACAATACTGGGAATCATAGCCTAACCAAATTGATACACATATTTTGGGGGGACATAATTCAATCCATGACACCTTATAACAAGGAAAGGCTGGACAAACTGAAAATAAATGACTTTTCTTGATCCCATCAATTCTCTCATGAGGCAAACATAGGAGAAAAACTAACCCAGAATCTGGTGAGAGACAGGAGCCTGCAAGGAGAAAAAGGACCAGAGCATCTGTTGACACAAGGCAGACACTGGTGGACCACATATAAGCTGGTAAGAAGATTTAGATAAAACTTTTTAATGAATGGCTAAAGGCCAAGTATGGGTTAGCATGAGGGTATGAGCTCATTCTTTTATTTTTAACTTGTCAGATTCAGTTTGTTTTGGTAGTGTTTATCATGTACACTACCAAGAGAGTTAAACTTTAATGGGGAATTAAGCCGATTTACATTTATTAACAGTACCAATATGTTTGGTAGTAGTTCTCCCATATTGTTTTATAATTACAGGCAGTCCCCTGGTTGCAAATGTCCAACTTATATAAAACCCGTACTTATGAACCAATCCCCATAACGCCTATTATACTGAAAATTCAAGGGAGGCGGAGCCAAGGTGGCAGACTACTCAGATGTACCAAACCATCCGTCTGCAACAAAGACCCAAAAAACCAAGTAGAATAGATACTGATGTCAATCCTGGAACCCTGAACTGTAAATGAAGGGATAAAGTATTAGATCGGTAGCCACTGAGAAAAAATATCAAAAACAGCAAACAAGTAGAGATACGGAGTGGAAGTTCCCTGCCAACCGGCATAGCACAGTGCAGGCATCTTGGGATAAAGCCAACAACCCCACACAAAGAGCACAGAAAGGCACCTTCACGGAACTCCCAATAGGAGATAGAGGAACAGCACAGACACACTCTGAGCAAAGTAAGAAGAGCCCGTTTGCTGGCTGCAGCTCGAGGAAGTGCCCATACACTCTCACACAGTAACCAGAGAAGCATGCTCCTACAACCCCCACACTTTTGGCAAACAGTGGCATGAACTTCCCCATCCCAGCAGCCCTGACTGTTGGGGACCACAATATGAGCCCCTCCATCACCCCTCATTTAGCCCCTTACACCCCTCTGCCTCTGTCCTCCCACCAACTCTGCTCCACTGTGCCATGGCTGAGCAGAACAGGCCTTGTGCCACTGCCCTCCCCACCCACCGGCTTTGCCCCACTGCCCCACAGTCCAGTGGAAACCCCCCCGCAAGCTCTGCCCCACTGTGCTGCGGCCGAGTAGAACCAGCCCTGCACCCTCCTCCCCCTGCTGAACCTGCCCCACTGCATCACAGCTGAGAAACCTGCGCTGCTCATCTGAACATCACAGTGAGAGCTATCATGCCCACAGATGAGCAAGCAACAAAGCACGCCTGGCCTGCCACCCTGACGTATCAAAACAAAGCAAAAAACCAGGATGAAACAAACAAACAATAAAGAAAGAACGAAAATAATACCTGAATATCTTGGAGGCAGCAGACAATGTCAAAACATAAAAAAGCAGGACAAGACAGATCTAGCAAGTGACCAAAATAAAGCATCAGACGACCTTCTGGTATAGAAAAGGCACTGGAACTACCTGATCTGAAATTCAAAAATCTAACATTAAGAGTACTCTAAGAGACTAGGGAAGAGATCAAGGAAAACACAGACAAAATGAAGGAAAAAATAGACAAAACAATGGAAAACATAGACAAAGACAACGAACACCTAGCCAAAATCAAGGAGAACACAGACAAAGCAATAGGAGAATCCAGGAAAATAATACAAGAACTAAATGTCAAAATAAATAAACAATTAGAAACCACACAGAAACAGCAATTAGAAATCCAAAAGATAAACAACAAAATTTCAGAAATGGACAACTCAATAGAAGGTTGTAGGAGCAAACTTAAAACAATGGAAGACAGAATCAGTGAAACTGAAGACAAATCCATTGATGCCCTTTGAGGAAAAATCAGAGAAAGAATGAAGAAAAATGAAGAAATTCTAAGAATTATGTGGGATACGATCAAGAGCGAAAATTTGCACATGATCAGAGATGCAGAACAGGAGGAGAAAATGGATAACACAGGATTGTTGAAGATTTGCTGGCACAAAACTTCTCTAATATTATGAAAACCAAAAAGCTGTCCACCCAAGAAGTTCAATGAAACCCATATAGGATAGACCCCAAAAGAAAGTCACCAAGACATATCATTATCACACTTGCCAAAATCAAAGACCAAGTATCCCAAGAGCAGTTTGAGAAAAACGAAAAGTCACTTATAAAGGGAAAATAATGAGACTAAGCTCTGATTACCTGGTAGAAACTATGTAGGCAAGAAGGCAATGGGATAACATATATAAAACCTTGAAAGGAAAAAAAAAAAACACCAACCAAGAATAATATATCCTACAAAACTCTCTCTCAAATACAATGGTGAAATAAGAACATTTCCAGATAACAGAAATTAAGGGAATTCATAAAAACCAAACCAAACTTACAAAAAATATTAAAAGGAGTCCTTCAGTTAGAGAACCAACAACATCAGACAATAACCTGAGTCTAGGACACAGGACAGCATCAGCCAGATACCAGCCTAGGTAATGAACTCTCAATAGTAAAAACTAAAAAATTTAAAACAGGAAACCAGAGACATCAATCTGTAAATGTCAACAATGTCAAAACAATAAGAAGGGGAATAAACGGTATGGGTACAGAACTTTCAAATGGAGAGGAAATCAAGGTGATATCAAGTATATATAAATGGTTTAAACATAGAAAGATAAGTGTAAATTTCAAGGTAACCAGAAAGATAGTTAACAAACCTACTTATCAAAATAAAAAAGAAGAAAAACATAAACACTCAATGAACACAAAATGTATAATAACAAAAATGAAAAGAAAGTCCACAAACAAAAGGAACTTAGCACAGAAAAATAAGAGGAACAAAGAAAACACCAGAACCACAGACATACACAAAGCACAAAAAAAAAGACAGCAATAAACTCAGAGCTATCGATAATCACACTGAATGTAAATGGCTTCAATACACCCATAAAGAGACAGAGAGTGACGGAATGCATTAAAGAATGACCCATCAATATGCTGTTGACAAGAGACACAACTTAGAAACAAAGACATAAATATATTAAAAATCAAAGGATGGAAAAAATGTATCAAGCAAACAGCAACCAAAAAAAG